ATGTATTTTATGCGTCGAAAAAGGCATTAATAAATAAGAGAAAATTAAATTGTCATTATCTATTCTCAGGTTTTGTCCCATCTGGAAATTTTTCTCTGAAAACTTAGAATTTTTTCGTAACTTGTTTATTTTCAGTCTAAACTAAATTAAGCTACTCACCGATTAATTAAACATGTTAGAACAGTTTTAAATAAATATCACTAGCAAAATAAAATATTATATATCGATGTAATTAAGCAACGAAAATGTCTTGCAAGTGGCAAACTTCAGATTTACGATAGAAAATGTATATAAATGTTAATACTTTTCTTTTTGCGTTACTGTTATTGTTATTGTTGTTTATGCATATTTTGATTAATATTTAACAAGCAAAACTTATTTAAGATATTTTTTATTTTTTTAACAACAAAGTTTCCTTTTGTTAAAAAAAAATCTGGTTCGTCATTTGTTTTCAGAGGATGCATTCTGACAGCATATAATTTGAGTTTGAGATGATCATGGTATTAAAGCATATACTTGCGCAAGAAACGTAGATAGTATTATTATTCTAAGTCTATTAATTGCTACTTGAAGAAAGAATATTACATTTTCTTCAAATATATCAAAAGATCAATATTTTTTTACCGACTCAAATAGTTAATCTAACCGGAACCATGCAATATAATTTAGAATTTTATCTCAATTATTTTTTTTCAATATCATTATAGCTTCCTAATTAGGCTCGAAAGCTTACTACTCATTTCCCGAAAGTTTACTTCTAATTTATACTTTAATTTTGAGAAGTAAAGACTTAAACTAATTTATAAGTTTTGTTAAAAAGAAATTTGTATTGAAAAGACTGCTCTTTCTCATTCTTTCAAATCAAATCAAAATTGTAAACTCAGCTCTGATCCAAAGTAATTTCAAGGAGTGCTTTTGATTATCCTGGGAAGCAAGTTGCGGATAACGAAAAACACGGTTATTCCAAGCTATAAATTTTCATGCATATTATAATGCATATATAGTCGTCTAGGTCATCAAATTATTCTATGTTACTCAATGTTGCTTTTCAATCACTCGGTTTACTACTCAATAACAGAAAGATAAATTTGAATGTTGAATATCTTATGCTTTACTGAATAGCAGCACGCTGATGCACTGAGATAATAAATATTCTATGTGAAGCAGTGACAACACATTGCTTTCAAATACCCGAATTTTGTGGATTAAAATTGAAAGATAAATAGCTTACATTTTGCCGAATGGCAACAATCTGTCGCGCCAGAGATAAATATATTTTCTTTAGAACAGTGTTGCCACTTCTCGATTCCAAATCTCCAGGTTTGTTAAAAATACGTTAAATTCGCATCCAATATGAAATAAATCAAAACCAAATCAAATTCGAAATTCAGTTTCGGTCTTCGAGATGTCCATACTCGGATTAAGATCTACGTGTATTAAAAATTTGGTGGCTTTAGGTGCCGTCGTTTTTCCACAGTGTATGAATACATACAGATTCTTCTTCTTTTTCTCCTCTTTTTGGGGAAGGGGGATAATTACTACAAGGCGGTAACATTTGGTAACAACAATCTGAAACATGATTCGAACACAAAAGTGATACGGAAAAAAAGTGAGTTTCGAAACTATTATCACCTATGGTGCTAAAAATCAGTGATTGGTCTCTTAGGATAAAAGTTCAAAGCTTCTTAGTACAATTATTCCAGTTCATTTCATTTGAAGCACCTCAAAATATTAAGCAGGTTTTTCGCTCATTCAGCTCACTCTGTTCTTTAGCAGAGATTATAGTCACACAGCTCATTAGCAACTGTTGCTAATTGAGATGTTTGCTTTTCAGCGAATTAAATACCGATGTTAGAATACGCACCATTAACTCAACTTGATTGCGTCTAGGTCATCAAATGCTATTTTTTAAACATGCTTTCCGTGAGAAATAAAACTGTATTTGTTATTACTCTGTTTTTTTTTTTTTTTTTATTAAAAACGTGAGTTTCAAATTCCCACAAAGTTCTAACTTTCTTTATTTCTTATTTTAAGAACGAATTGAAAATTAAATATAGAAACGAAAATTTCCATATTTATTACTAGGCTATTCTCAATCATTGCGGAATTTTTAGATATTATTAGTTAATATTGTTGCGTGCGTACGGGTTCGTTATGAAATGAATGCACAAGTTCAATGAAAAATGAACAAAAATTTATTATTATCACAACAAAAATGATTAAATTTTCTCAAATTATCATGCAGTATTACAATATCTCACAGTAGTTATCTTTAACTACTCAAATATCCAATAGAACGTAACTCAAAACAGCTAAAGAACGCTAATCCGCGAATTCGCTACAATCAACAAGAGCAGTTTTCTAAACAACAACAAACTAAGCAACTACTACGAACTGAAATCGAAATCGAAATCGAGTCAATGGCTAGGCGGCAATTAGTAGCCAACCGCTACTTTAACCGTCTCTGTTGGTAAATTGCCCTAAGGCGTTACTACGAACTGAGATGTTTTCCTCCTTTTATAAGATTTTAAAATCACGCGCTAGAATTTTCCAGTACTTTCTCGAAATCAAAAAAGAGATATTTATTTATTTAATGCACGCGCTCTTGTATTTTCAATTTTCCGGCTTAGCTTTCTTTTAATATTCGTCACGCGCTGCACAACGCGAGAAATAAAACCATTTAATTTATAATTGAACTAACATTAGCTTTTTAAATACCAAATTCGTAACAATATTGTTACCTTAAATTGTTTTATAGTTGTATGCTCACATTTGTTTTCAGACAGTTTCGTTTTTCAATTTTATTTGCAAACATCAGTTAATTAACATATATTATATAATAATATATATTACTTAATATATATATTAGTTACTAAACATCAGTTACTAATATATTATGTAATATATACTATATATTACTTATTACACTTAATATATATTATATATTAATATTAACATATATATATTAGTTACTAAACATCAGTTACTTAATATATATTATATATTAATACTAATATATATTACTTATTACACTAAATATATATATATATATTAATCAATATATATTACTTAATATATATATAGTTACTAAACATCAGTATTTATATATATTATTATTATATATATATTAATTAGTTACTTTATTTCACGCGTACTATTGATCATCTTTTTTAAAACTTGCTTATTTTGAAAAAAATATTCAAAATATGTTCGACAAATAGAATAATTTATTCCAAAAGTTCTGAAAATGAACTCACAAATGTATTCGAGCGCTTTGAATAAACAAATTATGTTTAAAAAATAGGAAAATAAATTTTAATTTAAAAATATTTCATTGGATATCCTTAAATAAAATTACGCTTTTTATGCACTTTGGCTTGTATTAAACTTGTTTTTTTCATGTAAGAATGTTCTATTTCTCCGTAAGAATTACTTTTAGTAGTACTTTGGAAGAAATATCCGTGTTTTCTTATTCTTTTCTCCATCAAATAATTAATCTATTCAAAACCATGTTATTTATCAAGCTCAATTACGTTTTTTTTTTTTTTTTTTTTTTTTTTTTTTTCAATATCATTACAGCCGTCTAATTAAGCTAGAAAGCAAATGTTTTTGTTGCTATTAATTTATACCATAATTTTTTGAAGAAAGTACTTAAACTAATTTATATGTTTGGTTAAAAAGAATATGAACTAGGAATATTTGCATATTTATACTGCTTCATATTATTTTCTATAAAACATACATTTCGCGTCCCAGAGGCAGCGAGACATCCCCAGACCTTTATGCTTGCTCCCTCGTACTTAACAGTAGGCAAAAGGATTTTTACGTTCAAGCCTTCATTCGACTTTCGCCACGTAATCCCTCCAGCTGACTCAAATATATTAAATTTCGACTAGATTGCAAATATAACATCGGTCCAATTTTCTAAATCTTTGCTTCCCATGGAATATTTGAACGCCGGGTGCATTTTCATTGTTTTTTTTTTGTTGATGAAAAAATTCTTTCTTGCTAGGTTCTTGTAAAGGGTGTCCCACTAAAATCACCGGATTCTATATGCCCAGTAAAATACTTCACTTTTAGAAAATGGAAAATATTTTTACATACTTATAGCAAGTGAATGTTGAAAGAATTTAAGAAATTTAATTTAATACAATTTAAGAAAGAAAAATAATGTCTGGCATATATATTCCATAAATTGTTTTACAGCACCGTCTATGAAATTCGTAAGCACATTCTCATATATCTGCCTATCAAGATGACACGTTCAGTTTTCTCTACGTGTTCTTTTAATTTTACTCTTTAAGTTCGTATTCTTTCAGATTTCAAAAACATTGTCATGTACAACAGCAGTGATTTCAACAGACCGGCCGGAGCGAGAGCATGGGGATTTAATGTCTGCTGTCGAAGCAGTGTCTTCAAATTTCTTTATCAATTTGTTGTTCCATTAGGTGCATTTTCAAGTCCAAAGATTGGGCCAAGTTTTCTAACAATCTGTGCATATCATTCATCCTAACTAGTAATGATTTTTCATAATCAAAACTCGCTGTTCTTTTCTGTCTTCCATTTGATTTATCTGCAACGAAGCTGCGAACCGAACTGACAGTGATAAAAGATCACTTTTGTCAGGTCAAATTGAATTCGAGACATCCTTAATCGGAACATTTTCCTGTTGTAAGTATGTAAAGGTATTTTCCATCTTCTAAAAGTACTTTCTGCGGGTATATGAAATCCGATGCTTTTATTGAAACATACCCTATATCTAGTGCCCTAACCATTCTTCTAAAAGTTTCAGGCTTAACTTTTATTTGAAATCGTTCTTCTATTTTTCGTAGACATTTCGTTGTTACTAAGAAGGAAGAAAAAATATATTAGCAGTTTATTAAATCTTTAGTAATACGAAATTATAAACACATTAATATATAAATTTCGATTTTTTATTTATGAATTTGATCGTATGAACATAAAATGTAATAATAAACATGTTATTTTTCATATTTCAGTTGCTGTCCCTTTTCACATGCGTGTATTCAAGAGCACTCGGGTCACATCGAAATGGTTGGAAACCAGGCCATAAAAAACATAAATATATTACGTAAGTATATTAAAATGATTAATTTTTTATTAATAACATTTTCAAAGAATTAAATTTATTGAAAGCTTTAAATAGTAAAAACATAAACAAAACTGCAAAGGCTGAGCTTTGTAAAGTCATAAATGGATAAGACTAAACTTCTGAAATCATAATGTAATCTCGCCGTTTATACTATGTCTAATTTACTATTTTCCACTGAAAATAACAACAATCATTTGTTTATTATTCTAAATTAACACAAAATTCTTTATTTTAAACTTACATTTCTAACACAAGTTTTCATCTTATTGAAAATAAACCTGATAAATTGTTTATTTTAAACTAATATGATAGAATAAATTAGTTCTACTGTTAATTAAAACAGTACATAGCATCACAATCTCACATACTTGTATTTTATGGAGCTTCAATAATTTAAAAGATTTTTAAGCTTTCACATTAATAAAAATAAGAAAAACCATTTTCTAAATTTAAATTAATGTCATAGAACATTTCAACTGCACTGTTTTCACAAATGACTTTATAGTTACTCAAGGTCATAACTCCTTACTTACTGTTATGTAGACTTCAATAAAAATGTTAAGATTTCGCATTAATGGAAAAAAAATTAGGTAAAATGAATATCATAAACAGCTTTCATTTCGCTCTTTATTAATTCCTAAAGGAAGTCATATTCCCTTTACGCATATTACTATTCATACATCAATAACTGGTAAATCACAATGAGAAAAATGAGCAGAAAAAGGAAGAAAGACCTTCTATATTCATTATACATGAAAATTTCTCCTAGCTCTTAGTGTATTTTATTTTGGTTTGGATGTATATTGAAAGACAAGGAATCAAGGTACAAAATGAGAGAATCATTTTCTAATTAAAATCAAGAAAATACCACTTATTCATGACATTTTGAGGAACTTTGAAATTTCAGGGCTAAACTCGTAACGCTCGGAGGGTTAATTTGTTCAAGTTCAAAATTTAGTTGGCCATTATAAAAGAGTTTGTATGCAGTGTTCTATAAATAGATATGTTTATAAACCAAATACGAACAACGTAAGAGGAATACATAAATACAAAACACTGTGGAAAAGGAGAAAGCAAGCAAAAACATCTCATTTCCAAAATATCCCAGTTGCAAAACATCAACGTAGAAAATAAGGCGATTCAGTTTTAAAATACTGTCGTAGAACATATATCGAGGTAAAAAATATCGCAAGCAGATGTTTTTCAGGCTTTAGAAGCTATACATTCAAATTATAGACATTATTCGAATTATAGATTGTAGAGACATTAGGTATTTTTTTTTTTTTTTGAAAGCCAGAAAAGATGAAAAATTAACAAAGCCTTTGCCGGGAATCCAACCACGAACCTCTGGAATACCGGCCCAGCGTGCTACCGTTACACCACGAGGCTTGCTTGGAAAGCGGGAGAAATACCTTATAAAGCAAGGAAAAAATGACGAATATTTTCCCCTCTATATTTCATTTTTTTAATTAACTAAAAAATTTGCATTCATAATACAAGAAGGAAACTTAAGATTCAACGTTAACATAATTTTAAACCTATGTACGTTAAGCTATTAGAGGTCATTATTTAATTAACCACTTGTATGTTTTTGGAATGGCAATGCGAGTAGGCATTTAAGACTTTTAAAATCCGAAAAACATGTCTGCGATATTATCATCATGCGATGATTTGTAGGTGCTTTGTTTTTTACAAAGATATTTTCTACTACGATATTTTAAAACTGAAAAGTTTTTTAACAGCTTTAATTTCTACAACAATGTTTTACAACTGTAATATTTTCTCCTTGCTTTCTTTTCTTCCAAGATGTTTTGTACAGAGCATTTCTCTTTGTGTTGTTTTTTCCGCAAAGTTTTCGTCCACGATGTTTTCGGCGGACACTTTGATAATACTACCTAATCCTTGTTTTTATTCATTATTCATTTCAAAAGGATATTCTCTTTAAAAAATTATATATTTCATATAATACTACATATGGTATTCTTAAAGAGAAACGATATTTTCTTTAACAAATTTTAATTTCATATGATAATACTACGTATGATATTCCTAACTCTTATTTTTATTCACTGTCAAACCGTATTTTCTTTAAAATTTTCTATATTTCATATGATAATACTACGTACCATATTCTTAATTCTTTATTCATTGTCAAATGATATTTTATTTAAAAAAATTTCTATACTCGCAGTACTTAATTAATTGCTATTGTCCCATTATTATTTTACTGTACTGAACTATTATTATAGGGATTTACCTTGGGATCCAGTTTTGAAGAAACGGGAGCAACTGCATCTACTAGTAAATAAATCCGATGAATGCTGTCCGTCGGTCACAGAAATAATACAACCTTTAGGAGGAGTTTCCAAAGCAGGAAGAATTCTTGAATTGTATCGCGATCAAAACTCTACTCAGAGTTTCTACCAAACTTCTTGTAAAGAAGGAGTTAAGGGTCACCACTGCAGGTACATAGATGATGACAGGCGTCATCATTCCGTTTGTGTCCAGAGGTATACGTACACCTACGCCCTGGTGAGAGAGTTCAACTCGCAAGCACCTTGGAGATTGGACTACATCAGGATACGAAGCGGCTGCTCCTGCGAGATTCGCGTTCACGAAGAACATTTCCACGGAAAGAAAAGAAAGCTTCTAGAAGAAGTCATGTGAAGAGGATTTTTGAAATAATTTTCAATACCCCTAGATAAATCTCCACCGGCAAGTGTTACAGGTGATTGTCTAGTCAGCTACTGTGATCCCCTTCGGCTGCTTGCAGTTCCAAACAGTGGGTCATACGTACACTGAAATTCTTCCATTGAATCCAAAACATAACTGAATGCGTAAATAAGGAGATATAAATATGGATATTCCTAACAGAAATTCTCGAATATTGAGGCGAAAGATTTCCATATTTTATTTTAAACCTTACATGATATTTCTCATCGATGATAAAAATGACTAAAACTTGCCAGGCTGTCTTATGCTGTTTCATTATCTTTATTTTTATTTAAAGTAGCAGAAACTTCTATTATGTAAGCGTGATCCGCGTTATAAACTTGCTCTCTTGGAACTGCAGCTGCTTTTTAAGCCGGTTGTATTAAGTCTAGGGGCCTTACAATTACTGCTTGAAAGTCATATCGGTAAGCAGGAAGTTAAATGGAAGTGATTCACCAAGCTGTTTCAGATATTTCGGCAAAAAGACGTTACCTAGACGTTAAAAAGACGTTATTTAATTTGATGTACAATGATGACTATCTAAATAGTCCTGGAATATGGGCATTTATAGAGTGTTGCCATTGTTTATTTCCTCAATAATTTTAACATCCATCACAAACTTGATAAAAATCACAAAAAGAATTACAAAAGTTTACCCTCAGAGGAATAAATGCTAGGCAGGTATGGATATAAATTACACAGTTTGACTCAATTAACTTTCTTTTAATTTCACTTGTATTCACCTCATTCATGTTTATTGTAAAACTGCACTGATATTTTGAAATTTCTCGAAGTTATGCTTTAATGTTTAACAACTGTGACTGAAATGAAATCTTACGTAAAAAGTATTTATTTCATCACCTGCGATATCGCAATTTTCCATTTGTGTAAATGTTGTAGATTATTGCATGTTATATTTATTTATTTATTCATTCTTCAGTTTTTCATTTTAATGTTATAAGCTATGTATACAAATAAGAATAAGCATGCTAGAAAAAGAAATATGCTAAGTTCTGGAAAGAACTTTCTACGTTCAAAATTATTCGTTTCGTATTTAAACTCGAATATCTAATTTAATTATATTTTGCTTTGAGAACAGCAACTTTAAATAATACATTTATAATCTTTAAATTAATGCACTTTAGTATTGTTATGTTAAAAATATTTAAAAATAAGCATTTTTTAGTTTTGTGCCATTTTATCTTTTGTTCTTTTGCTTCAAATCATTAAAATTAAATACATTAATAATAATTTGACATCTTTACCCTCTTCATAAGTGCGTATATATATATGTTTAACTTTTACGAAGTAGTTAAAATGTTACAAAGACTGTAGAGCCTTTTTCGCGTTTAATTCACATTTCATATTCACTGAAGGTTTCGTGAAAAGAAAGAATACTCATGTAATACTCATGTTTTGTTTGATCTAAATAAATTCCAGACAGAATATTGTTCAGAAAAGAATTGAGCAAAACACTTTATCGTGCATATTTCTTAATTGTATGCGAGTGTGTAAAAACCATGTAGTCAACGATAAATTGTGTGATTCAAAAGCACATATAAAATTAAAATACCATAGTACAGTGATCTCAAATTGCATGAGGGCTGAATACATGATCTGAAAACAGCTCACGAGCTAGGATTTTTTTTAACAAATTAAAAATATTTTCAATAAAATTCAAAGTTCGCTTACTAAGTATTTATTAAAACATAAATAAACAATCATAATAGTATCGTAAAAAAATTAAATATACATTTCTTCTGTACCTGAAATCTAAAATGGAATACCTATATGACATTTCTGTTAGTTATATTTTACAATTCAAATATATTGACTGCTAAATATTAAATTGTCAGAATAAAATAAAATCATAATAAATTTATTTCAAATAATTATAAAATGTTTAACTAGTCATCAAATAGCTTACTTTAATTTACACTAAATATAAACAAATTACGAAAAGTTTCAAAATTGGACAAAATCTGATAATAAATAATGATAACATAGTCTCTTTCGCTTATTTATTAAATTTTTCTTCGATGCAATAAACAAAAAGGCGTATGTTTGTATGTAAATAATTATAAACTTCACTACAGTTGATACTTTATTTCACTACAGTTGATACTGGATAGCGTTTCGATTTTGATAAAATTTGAAACCTTGTAGAGAAATTAGTAGAAATTATCTTCATTATGGATTGCAGATACTTATCGGTCAACTGGGTTTTTTCTTATTAATTTTCAACTTAAAAAAAAGCTGCTAACAGATGAATGTATTCCCAAACAAAACGATTTTTCTTGATATAAAAATTCGTAACTTATTTAAATTGTTAACAGAAGTAAGAATAAAAGTTAATAAAATCTGTATCTTTAAATTTGTGAATAAAATTAACATTTAATGGTAATGAAAATAATGTAAACTCGAACCTCAAATACTAAAATTATGAGATCTTTGTCACACCGTTATTTGCACCAAATACATGATCAAAATATCTTAGCTGAGCCGCATAAAATTGTTGATAAGTTTATGAGAGCCTATTTATATAATGGAGGAATATGAGGACTATTTATATAATTTATAGAATGTAGAACCAACAGTTTGAGATCACTGTTTATATAATTTCTAATTTTATGTGTTTAAAAATTTTGTATTTATTGTAAATTGTGTAATAGAAAAAAAAAATCTTAAATGAAACTAAAATTATACATTAATCTTAATCAAATACAAATTTATGTAAAAATATGAGCGTTTCTGTCTTTTAAGTGTAAATTTTTACATTCATTTGCATTCGCCATCGTATATTTATTTAAAATTCATTAATTTATTCTCATATTTTTTAGCCAGTTTCTATTATTTCAGGATTTTATTTTTTCTCCTTTACATCACCAAATAGAGAAATCCTTTCTAAATTTATGCTAAATTTTTAATTAAATATACTTTAGTAATCATGTACTATGCGATCTACCGCGTTTAGTTAATTATTTATATTCTAGATGGTGCTACAAAATAATTTTTAAATTCAAACGTGCGAAAAAGCGGCAAGGGGAAAAAATAACTATGTTTTAAACAATAACCAATTTTAGAGCTGCTATCTAAAAAATAAATAACTTGCTAAAAGAGGTAGATTGCATGCCATATGATAACCTGTATTTTTATTAGAATTCAGAGGCACACTTAATATCGCATCTCTACAGTACGCAAAGCTTAATGTCATCACGTTTGTCCATGACTATTTTGATAACATTAAACGATGAAAAATAACAACGGAACTTAACTAATTTAATATAAACATGCCTATAAACATATAAACAGTTACTTTCGCAGCATATTGATTAGGAAAAGTTTATTTATGCACTGTTCAAATTTTAAATGATTGACTAAAATTGAAACCAAGCTGTTTGGCGATTTAATCCCTTACTTGATGACATTTAGTTGCCACTTGGCAATTTTTATAATCAGTTTTGGAGAAAAATTTAAAAAATTCGATATTATTTTGATCATAATAACAGATGATTTCTATATTTAAAATTAATCGCGATCACATTAAGCGGTGTCTAATGTAAATTATTTTAATATTGCATAAAATATAATTAAAGTTTTTTAATATATTTATATATATATATATATATATATATATAGTGGAATCTAAATTTCTCTCATGAAATTTAAGGAACTTTTTTATCCTCTAAGACGGGGTTTCTCGAAGAGTGGTGCGTGTATCATTTATGGTCCATTATATTATTTTTAGAGTCACAATTTTTACATGACCCCTTTCAGAACGCACTCATTTCTAATCTCAAAATGCATGTATGATGTTACATGTTTTTCTGATTCTTATTTACGTGGTAGAAAATTTAAAACATTTGAGAATCCCTGTTATTTAAATTAAACTAAGTTCAGAAAAAAATCTTTCATTGAAATTAATTATACATGTTTTATAATCTTAATTTATACAGTTCCGAAGATATTTCATTTTTTAACATTCCAAAAAATGCATTGTTGCTCTATTAAATTCTTTTTATGTTATATTTTATGTTAACATTCAGCTGAAATTGCAATCTTTTATTTCTTTCATTATTAATCAATTTAATAATGCATTCAAAAGAACAATTTATAAACATGTTTGACTATGCATGACTTTTTTCTTCGAATGTTTCTGTGCGTTTGAAGATGACAATGATTGTTCATCATTAGAGACTATCTGAATGTTCCTTGGAGTGATAATCTCTATTTTTGTTGTTTATGTAAGTGTTTAGTTTTAAAAAAATAAAAATATATGTTCTAGCAAAATGAATTCTTGTTTCATTATTCACGCATATCGTGTAAATATACGATACATGTTATTAAATAATAGACAATTAAGAAAACGATTTTTATACAGTAAGCCAGCGGTATCTAAATCTTTTTATCTTCTGGGCCACATTGAAAAAAGTTGGGCCATACACATTATTTCTAATATCAAAATATAGCTCGTGACCTCTCAAATAAGTAAATCACGCGAGTAGGTTTCATTGAAAATTCTCGGGATTGCTCAGACTTAATGGCTGAAAGAAATTTTTAAACTTCAGCTCTAGGAGATAAATGTGCGAATTTGACTGAGTTATAGATCAAATTTGCTTAGCGTATACTATGTATAAGAAAGTGCAGATATAGACAAATTTTAAGTAAATCAATAATTCATTTGAGTCATAAGGTGAGGGGCAACTTCTTAACACTATAGCGATGGTTGATGAGTGAAAAACACGTTGAAGCAAATATAAACAATTTAAACGCTATTAAACGTATAAATTAATATAATGACATAGATGTATACAAAATATAGAATTATTTTCAGAATTTACGTAAAATTTCATTATACATTTCGTTTATAATCACAAAGATAACAAGAAATCATAGAATTCGTATAATAAATATTAATACTTAATCTGATATTCTGGGTCTAATTTTACTCATAGTGCTTTTCACTCTTGAAAGTTGTTCACAAATGTACGCACTGCCAAATAATGATAACTTGAATAAACGCATGACTGTGCAGAGAGGCAAATTTATTTATCTTTCGGTCGTATGATTTTATAAAAATCCAGCAAAGAAATGCGTTTAAATTTTTCCTTAAAGTTAAATGACAGATAACGACTCTGTGCATTCAACTGTTTGAAAATTTGCTGGCGATATCTATATCGACTGTAAATAAAGCAGCAAAAATTTTTTAAAAAGTGATCTTTTTCCTCTAAAATCTTGAAAATCTATTTTTAAGTTCTTGAATATAACCGAAAAGCAAGGTGTCTTATTCTTCCCTGTTAGGGTTATATTTGTTCAACGTGTTCAAATGTAAATAATTTTTCCGTTTATTTGGCCACTCACAACGCATTAGCAGCTTATGTCCCATACTATAGGATACACAAAAAAATCCTTCATAATGTTAATTTTAATGTAATTTAAATCAAAATTAGGTCGAATTTGTCGTGTTTCCTTTAGTATACCACATATGCTGCTCACACATTTTTAACCCTTATTTTAACCCTTATTACATTTTAACCCTTATTAAACACTCTTGAAATTTGGCATTAAATTTTAGTTCATTTTAATATAAAAACAAAAAAAAAAAAAGACGAAAAAGATTAAAATAGTTATAAAAACAGAGTAATTTTTTAACATAACAATATTAAGTTACATTAAAAAATGAAAAGAATACAGTTAAGAGTTCAAGAGACCTTCAAATATATTAGGATTTATGAAGGTGTGGTGTATTTAATTACGGCAAAGCACACTAGGGCTATTTGCCCTAAGGGGAGGGATGCCTTTCGTGGAGGACTTTCTAAGGGAAACTGGCTCGTATACACGTTACCATGGGGAAAACCACGAAAACGCCCATGCAGCCAGCCCGTTCGCGGGATTCGAACCTCGGACCGAACTACCAGTGTTCAACGACTTTACCGCTCGGCCGCTGGTGGGCTAGGATTTATGAAGATTTGACAAGTTCCTAACCCCATCTACTCGAAGGGTTCTACAAGTAATAAATGTTCTTAATGTTTTCTAATCCCCAACTACCAGAGTGGTTAGAAAAAAATTTAAAACATTTATCAATGTATCCTGAAAAATATATAAAATTACAGATTTTA